AGGATGTTTGTTTGAGAGTAGCTTGAGCACATGTAAATAAAAGATGAATAGCGATAGAATGCCTCATTTGAAATCCTGAATTGCAAGAGCCATGTTTCATTGTTTGAAGTTTGATTAAATTGACATGGATTTATTTAAGACTTTTTTTGGTTTTTTGTTTCCTTTTCTGCTTTGATTTTGAAGAGGGAGCCTTTTGAAACCCTGCTGAGGAGTTTGACCTTGTTCTCAGGTCTGTGTTGTTCACTACGCTGCACAAAGAATTTGTAAAAATATCTATAGACTTCCCATGGTGGTAGGAGGAATATGGAAAAAATCAGACAGTGATTCCCATTGGTACCTATTTTCCCCTCACATAAATATGATTGTTAATACAGCTGGGGCCTTCTTTGCTCACACTTTGGGATCTCTGATTGTCGTCCAATTGTGCAAAATACAAAACTAAGGGAGAGAGAGACGATGCAATAGGTGCTTTGATTTCAAAACAGTATTTTATGCTGTTTAATCATTTTTTTAAGATCCACATGTGGTACATTTTTTAATATGTAAGAAATGGGTTTAATTATTTAGGAGTGAGGAACCGCTGAATATTCTTCCCATCGTGTGTGCATGCTATAAAAAGAATAGAGGGGAGGCTGAATAGGAGTCAGGCTGCCTAGCCTCAAGTGGAAATAGGAAAATCTAAGATTTTAAAGCCTCTTTTACACTTTTAAAAAGTTGTCCAAAATTGATTTGCGTCATATGCAGGACAATCTCACTTATGAGTTAATGTGAATAAAACAAGTTAGATAATGCAATTTGTTTTGCATAAGTGATTAAGTAGCAGTGGGAGGATTGTTTCTGTTTTCAAACAATGAATGAACAATCGTGTTCCTTAAATGGAAAGCTTTTACAATACCTACAGTGAATTGGGCTTTTTATACATAAAAGCAATTGCTTTGCAAATGAACAAAATGCCCCTGGGCCCGTCTCTTTAATCTAGCATCCTACCCCCACCCTCACACACACACATGCAGAGCTAAACCATGAGGAAATCTAGAAGACTGTAACTTAAACATGTAAAAAAAAGAGCTGTAGAACAATGGTGACTTTAGGGTATTTCTGCAGGTATTTGTATCTGAAAGAGGAAAATGTATGTGTTTTGCATCCTCTTACCGTATATCACTGGTCAGGATTTACCGGCTAGATTTCTGCATGCATGTGCCTTTATATTATTATTGGCACAAGCTGTGAGATGATGTCCTTGATAACTATATAATTAGAATTGGCATGTTGCACTCCTTATTTCAACACGATGAATCAGTGGTTCGCTGTTAACTTGAAAGAAAATATTAGATCCTGACTAAACTTTGATGAAATCCATGGTTACAAGTAAGAGATTTGGGTCAGCTAATGAGAACAGAGCATCCCGCCACACTCAAAGTCCAATTGGGAGGGAGATGATTTGCATGATGCAAATGCTGTCGAGGTAATTGCACACGCTGAATATCATGGGGTCATGGTTGGATTTCTAGATTTTATTCTTATTCAACCATATCATGACAATGAACACAGTTTTCTTTTTTTTCTTATTGTCAGAGTTTTTTCTGTTTGTTTTTTTGTTTTTTTTTAGCTCCTAATTAAAAATAAACAACTTTTTCATCCAGAAATATCTTCTCTTTGGATGGAAAACAATTATGGAAAACATTTATTTTAGTCAAAAACAAAAGTAACAGGGATTTTCCGATATGGGCTACAGAAAAATAAAATGTCAAAAGCAGTTTTATACACAGAAAGTACATACAAATAAAACAAGGGCTATTTCTCATTTCCACTGTTACCTTCAATATATAATATATGAAAGTGTTGGGCATGTATTTTAAAGTCACAGTAGGACATTATATAATATAGCACTACAAATCCTTGCAATATTTCTTTTAGAGGGTTATATCAAAATTTGCTTTATAGTTTAACTAATTTAATTCCAACTATGATTGTTTTAAATCCAGTCTTGGTAATTTGTATTCAGAAAGGTGAATATAAGAGAAGCAAAATATCATACAAATCATTACCAATAAATAGATTATATACTATGTGCATTGTGTATAAATGGCAGTATGTGAAGATTAAAGTAAGGTGATTCCCTATTAGATAGGAATATTGATGTGGAAGGGACAGATTGCTGAGTTTAAAGTTCATCTAATAGAAGAAATTCAGCAAAAACACTGCATTCCTGTACACATGAATCGGCAACCCACCTTTGAAAAACCTGTTCCATCTGCACAGTAATCAAAGTAACCCCACCACCACCACCACCTCACTCACTCACTGAATGGTGTTCTCTAATTAACCATGCAGAACAAGGGGAAGAACACATGTTAATTTAATGTAACAAAAATGTTGATTTTCATGCACTCTCCTTTTCAAATATTTATGGGCTAGACTTGAAGCTGAAGATGCATCAAAGACTCACAGGGTATGCAAATGTGTCTGCCTTACCCCCCAACAAGTTGGACTGTCTTTTTTGCTCTTCACACAGCCCTCATGCACTGCCATCTGAGCTGCAAAGAGGAAGCCAAGCAATCCCCTCTTTAAAAATAGTCTACATTTGTTTTTTTGTTCTTTTTTTCTCTCGATATCAATCTGGAATTTACTGGCACCTGCTCAGCTGCTCGATACAGTGCTTGATAAAGGCAATAAGTAAAAAAAAAAGAAGTATTTTGCAACAAAAGCAGATTAAATTGTCCAATATTCTTAAATGGACAAAGAAAGGCGGTTTGATTTTCTGCAAATCAGTGACATTCAAATTTAAATTATATTAATTTTAATTTATTCTTTTCTCCATAAACATCTTTTTTTTTTTATTATCGCGGTGACCGACAGGTGTTTTTCCCACGGTGTCCAAAAGGTGGCGCCTGAGGCACGCTCAACAAGCACGCGCGCTCCGAGAAATGAAAGAAAAGAGCGCAGCTTTATTAACTGCATTAAAAAAACAAAACATGTATAAATCAACATGCGATGAATTGAAAAACAACAGAGTGTCTACTTTTTAAAGTACCATAATTATAATGATACATTTTATTAATTGTTCCAAGTGAATACAGAAGAAGTGGAGAAAAAACTGTATATAGGTATATATATTTATCTTCTTTCTCACTACAGACCAAAAAAAAAAAAAAAAAAAAACGGCGCTGACCGCGTTGAT